GATGACAGGCCAAGAGAATTATTTGGAAAAGGGTGCTTTACTGGATATACAAAAGAAACTGGCTGAAGTTTTAAAACTTAAAAGGGAAATACAAATGATAAAGCAAGAGAATAACCTGGAAAATGTTTCCTTATTGGATCTTCAAAAGAGGCTTGTTAAAATCTTGAAGAAAATTGTGCAATGGGATAAAGAAGAATTGAAGAGAAATCAAATCCTACCGCAATATTTGATTGAATTAAATTAATTTAATTTAATTTAATTAAAATTGTTAGAAGTAAAGAGAAGGAATATAAAGTTGGTTTATTTGATCAAGGTTAAAATAAAACTTTTTTTTTTTCCGCAAAGTTCTGAAAATTCTTTGTGGACTTTTGCTGACACTGGATTGAAAAGTTGATGTTTTATGGATTTGCTTATAGATAAGGGATGAGATATGGGATGAATCTGTAACCTTATAGGGGGTGAAGAGTTATTAAATGTGTTTATACTTGTGATGAAGGTTGCAAGTCACTTCTTTATATATTTCTTTTATTGTATTCTTTCTTTTCTTTTTCTTTTTTCCTGCACTTTATATTCTTTTTTTCCATTCTCTCTTTTTCTAAGTTTAATTTGTATTAGTTTTTACTATTGTAATTATAATCCTTAATAAAAATTATATTAAAAAACAAGGTAAGGCATCCCTAACTTTAACTATAACTTGTTGAAGGCACAAGAGCCTCATACATTAATCTATAAATCATAATATGAATCTATAAATCATGGTTTGGAATCCACAATGGCTAGGATTGACCAATCAACTCAAATGAGATACAAACTCATCTATAATATTTTGGCTGATTTCTTTTGAAGCTATCTGCATGGAAACACCCTACAGTTTTAAGGTTGTCTCATTAAAGTTAACTTCCACACAGTTTAGCAATACAGTAAAATTTGGTCATTATTAGATTTTACACTCAGTGTTTTGAAAATATGAAAAAAAAACTTTTCTAGGAATAATTTGAGGTCTTATAAAAAGGTGTGAGACATTAAATCAATATGATCCATTAATTTAAAATATAAATATTTTTGAAATATATTTTCAACAAAGCAGGAATTGAAGATTTTAAATTGCTAAACAAATCATACCTTTGCAGCTAACTCCACAGCAGTTATATTGGGATTATATGGAATGGGTTCTCCAATGTAAGTACGAAATTTGACTGGAAATCCACCACATGGAGGGATGATGGGGATTCGAACATATTCATATAGCCTCCTAGCTAAAGCTATTTTAAAAGACACAAAATTAAAACTAAAACATAATTTGAATCAGTTTAAAATATCTAAAATACATGTTATTGGAATCATTCTATAGAACTATATTTGCTCCTAAGCTGCAATGTAGTCATAAACCCATAGCTATTCATTTAAATAAACACTATACATACCTGCATATACACATACACACATTGTTTTTGTGTATTGCATCCGAAATATCATTCCCTTGGGGGAAGGGGGAAGTTGAACCCGGTTTAACAAAGTTCACTGTTTCAACTGAAGAACAAGGAATCTGTATAGTGGATTAACATGTGAAGGACATTGCCACATGAGACCATATTCTCTATTTTATGGGTTGCATATGGATTGGTCATTTCATGAATGGAAAGGCTCTTTATAAAAGACAGTGGGATCCATCAGAAGCCCGGGATTCAACAAAAGAGAATTTTTACCAGTTCTTTCTACATTCTTCAGTTTTGTTCAATGGTTCAGAGTTGCACCAGTCATCTAGAGCAGTTTTTTTTTTTTTTTCCCAAGCAAAAGACACGACAGAGGAAAGGGGCATAAGGAAGATTGCTTCTCAGTCTCCTTCTTCAGGCAAAGCTTAATTCTTCTAAGCCTTGCTCTCGATTCAACCAATGATTTCACCAAAATGTAGTGAATTTCTCTTTGTTACCATTTGAATTAGCAGATACCCATATAGCGTGCATCTATGTTTCAGTTCAAAAGACTGAAAATATTTTAGCTAAAACTTTGAATACACAGGAAGTAAAGCTAAATAGTAATTATGCAAATAAGCTGCAAAGGAAAAAAAAAATCCCACTAATAGCAATGCAAATATTCACTTATTCACCTATGATTGATTTTTTTCAAAATATGTGAAACCAGTGAGGTACTTAAACTGCTATTTTTTAAAATAATTACATATATGCTTACAAATTTTAACTAGCATTCCTCTTCTGTCTCCCATGGTGCTGATTTTGACAGGTTGGACTATTTTTTCCTTTTGTGTAAAGACAGATGCAAAAAAGGAATTAGGCAGTTCCACCTTCTCCCTGCTACCTGACACCTTCTTGCCATATTCTCCCACTAGTGGACCAACAATTTCCTTGACTTTCCTCTTGCTCCTTACATATGGAAAGAAACTTTTGGGGGTTATTTCTGGCATTTGTTGCAAGTCTTAGCTCTTCCTGAGCCTTAGCCTTCCTGACTCCATCCTTGCAGATTCAGACTATTTGCTGGTATTCTGCTCTAGTTAAAAGCCCCTCTTCCCATTTTTTATAGTTGTCCTTTTTGTCCTTCAAAGAGCTCTTTGTGCAACCACGCTGGTCTCATCAGGCATCTCTTGTTTTTCTTTCTCTATTGTTGCTGGTATTGTTTTTGTTTGGGCCTTCATTATCTTGTTTTTCAGTTTCCCAAGCATCCGGAACTGTTTTTTCTTGTAGGATTTCCATCCATGGGATCCTTCCTATTCTTTCTCTTAGTTTGTTGAAGTCAGCTTTCTTAAAATCTAGAATGCTGCTCTAACTTTGTTCAGTTACCCTTGCCTGCATGTCTTCTTCCAGGGGGAAGTTATGAAGTTGATTGTTCAGCTCCAGTGGCAGGGATAGTCTTCTATCCCTTCTCGGGGTTCTTGTTGTTTTGTTTTGTTTTCCGAGTGACAGGCTGCCATCTCTTCTCGAGGGTCCCACTTTTCCTGGTAGTTGTTTCTTCCTTGCTGTGTTCAGTTTGTAGATAGACAGCTACCTTTTCCAGGAAATCCTCATTTTCACGGTTGAGTTTCAGAGGGGCTCAACATGTCTCTACACCCTCCCCTTTCTCCTCCAGTAATCTGATCAGTTTGCAGTTGGTGCAGGTACAACTGGAGTCATCCTCGGGCAGGAGCACACTTTGCAGATCACCACAGTGCTAGAATCTTTCTCCATGACTTTATTCCTCTTGAGCATTGTATAGATCCAAAGAGATTTTCCAAATAGATTTTCCGTTGTAGAAATAGACTTCCCGATTTAGATTCTTAGTTGTTAAGATTCGTGCACCTAACAGCACACGAGCCACTAACTTGATCCCACACTTGGTTTATCTATTATTTACATGAAGTGACTTTCAGACTGTGAAGAAACTTTAAATTTGAAAGGGACCACAGAATGAACATGAGGGAATTATCCCAAGCAAAGCAGAGGCTGTACATATGCCAAGCATTTCTTGTCAGTGTTGAGACAAATTGTTAAATTTCTTCAGGGACACAATAAAAACAAAAAACACCACAATTTCATTAGCTCATAGAAAATCCCAACATCTAGCAATATGTCTTCTGTGCTTGTTTCACCATGAGTGTCAACTCTTAGGTTCAGCCCTGCAGCTGTCTTCTCTACACAAAAGCCCCTTCCAGGTAGCAGCAAATTCAGAGTTGGGTGAAGCTGTGATTATCTGCAAACAGAACCAGTTCAGTCTGCCGATTTGGGCATTAAATTTATTGAGGTTGAGGGATTAGAGGAAGGGTTAAGGTAAAATAATTATAATTCAAGATGTGGAGTGCCAGCAGCAACTCTTTGTCCAAAGCAGCAGATGGTAATCTTTTCAGTTTCTAGATTTTAGTAATTTTAAAATTAAAAATGTAATTTGAAAGTTTTATGGATAACATCTAGAGGTGCTATTGGTGCTCTTGTGTCTGAGGATGCCCCCTTTTCTTTAGGACATCAGATTATCTGCTATCAAAGTATGATCTCCTTTACACTGAGTTACTGTTAATAAAGAACAATAGCAGGAATTGAAAAAACTTAGACAAGATCATAAGGATAAGGACATTTCAGTGACAAGAGTAAAGCAATGGTTTTCTCAGCGGTAATTTATAGCTGAGAAGTATCAATACCTTTGAATTATGGGTTTGCTTACTAGGAGTAGCATGTACCAATACTATAAGAACCACTGGTCTATCAGTTCTGGTCTAAATAAAAGCTTACTATAGCCTTAAGATGATGAACAACAAGTAGAAATTCACTCTGGACATTGATACAAACTAATATAGGCTAGAAAAAAAAGCTGTCTTGACAAAGTTGAGGGAAACAGGATGACAGTAGATAAAATGAACAGATGGGATTAAAGTGATTACCAGAATGTCCTTGGAAAAAATATTATTGGAGACAGGTCAAGAAGGTGAGCATTTGCCCAGATATTCATCAGGAGTGAACCCAATTGAAAGCACCCAACTTACAACTTTTCGTTATTAGTGTGTATAGGAACAAACTCAAGAATGGACATACTGTAGATCTTATTCAGAATAAAACCTAAGTTAATAAAAATCAGGAGAGAGAGAGAAGGAAGATAGGCCCTTCTATTCCATTATATTTCCACTCTACAACTGCTTAAAAAGCAGTGCAATACCTTGAATTGGCTTATCAGGACCTCTCAAGTCCAGTGACTATTACTACTTTTTTTTATCCATGTGCAGATGAAATATACTTGCAAAGAAAGGATGTAAATATATTACCATGGACTTTGAAAACTGAGGAAGGAAGTTCAAGGTGATGGATGTTCTCAACTATTCTTCCAGTCAGTGAAAGAGAAAAATACAAACTAAATTAACTTTGCAATACCACCAAGATACTGTAGGGTCCATCATGTAAACCTAACCAAGAAGATGTGGATGATGCTTTCTAAAACAAACTGCAGAACTCAAAAAGGAATAAGACTTTTTTTTAAAAAAGGACTTAATAAAAACATAATTGTGAACAATTTAAATGAGAAAAAAATTGGAAAGCAACAGAAAAAGCAGTTATGAAAACAAAAAAGAACACAGGAGTTGGAAAGAGGGACTGATCATGAAGAAAAAATTAAACAAATAGCTTCTAATTTAGACTGGGTGTAAGGAAAACTAAAAAAAAAAAAATTCAGAATGAGCTGAAATTGGTGAAGTTTATTAAGAATAACGAAGTGGTTTCTTTGGATATGTTCAAAATAAAAGGAAGGAAAAGATTAGTATACCAGGTCTTTAATCAAGGCAGCAAAATACTAACAGAAAAAAACTGCAACTAAATAGCTATTTGGTCATCATCTTCTCCAGCAAGAGGCATGTTCCACCAGGCAATTTTAAAGAACAGAATGAAGAAGGATTGAAGTTCAAGACTCAAAGAAACATGGCCATGGAGTTTACCTGGAATGAAATTAAGTCTCCAGGGTCAAATGAATTGCATTCGAGATACTGAGAGAACTTGCTGATAGTCTGATCAAGGTAACAATCAAGGAAGAAAAGGATTTCTGCAAGGGGTAACAGGTTAATCAGCTTCAAATAAACAGACATTGCATAGCATGATAGTGGAGCTAGTAATAAATTTATTCAGCTCCTGAATAAATGTGGTTCTGTGAGAACTGATAAATCCGGTTCTGATTTCCAACTGCCACAAAAACTCTACATGGAAATGCTACAACTAAGTTTTAACAAGGCAGAAATCAGATTATCAATTTATAGCATAAAATAACAGGGACGCTCAGGATAGGGATGAATGAATAAGAAATCTGGAGTGTAAAGATTTAATTAAAAGGATTGGAAGGCAGAACTTCAATATACAAATCACAAGTAAATACTTCCACTTTACTACATTTTTTTCTCAAACATTGCTCTTCAGTATCAGCAAAGAGCAGAGAACAGAGTATAGCAAAACAGTAACAGAACTTCAACTCTTTCCAAAGCACTCTGGAGAGGCCTTCATGCATCATTCCTGTAATTAAAAGCTAGAATTATCATCATGCAACTCCCCTCCCTCCCCCATTCTGTCTTTTCTTCATCAAGGCAATTCAAAGTATAACAAAGTAAAAATGATTATCATTATATTACTCTGGTGGACTCAACCATGAGTTCAGTTAAACTTTGCTTCCCAAAGAGAATTGGGCTAGAGTCCTCTTGATGTCTTACATTGTAGCTAAATCAGGGATTCTCAAAGTATGGCCTACAGGTCGGATATGGCCCACCAGGGTCATTTATCCAGCCCACCCACCTGATTGGCCAGCGCTGCTGTCTGTCAGAAGGGGAAGTGTCGGGGCTGTGTCGGGAGCTGCAGGCGATGCACGAGGAGGGAGATCGCAGAGCCGGACTATTCTACATGACAGGTATGC